TGTTGATTCCAAGAAGACATAAATCTTTGATTACTCATTCAGGTCTGACTAACATATAGAAACTCTATTCAGTAGCTACATATTATAATCTTTCTTAGGATTAGTTCAAACCAGTTACTTTAAAAATATAATTGACTGTTCTAATGTAGGTTTCACTTCTTAACTGTACATACCGATAATTTGTCAGTCCTGAGTTTTGTAATTTAAATGAATCTAAGATTGAGAAACACTGTATTTTGGGAAGAAGTGTTTGTAAGTATTTCGCAAACATCTTAAACTCCACATATGCTGTTAATAATTTTATTTCGAAATCACGTTTTGATTCAAAAGTGTTAATTTATTTAACACTTATAACAACATTTCACGTTGACAGAGTGTAAAAATGTGCTATTAGTGATTACAAAATGTTCCAGAGGTTGTTGAATTTCATTGAAATCATGGATCCATCAATGATAGACCACTGTTGAAAACCTGGAAACACTGGATGTTTGTTTCATTCTAGTATAGGACTCTTCAGCAATGCTCATTCACGACCCCGCATGTGGAGCTCAAACCCAAGATGCTTAACCTGTAGACCATTGATCCAACATCCAACGATGTTATAGTTTAACTTCAATTGATTCATGCATTTGACTGTTAAAATCACTACAATCTCTACAAATCCTAATTCTGATTATATTTTACAATAAATTAATTTGTGTGAACTATCTGTATTTCAATTCACTTAGTATTGTTTGTTTGAATCTTCCCATTTATGCTTGGGACTGCAAATGGTCAGTCTCTTATTGACATATGGGCATACTGTGAGTAATGCCTCGATATAGCCTTAAGTCACAAGCATTGTAAGTAAAGATGGATAGTGGTTAGCATCTGCATTTCAAGTTTGATATATTTAAACAATAAGATCTTTTATAAGTAGAAGACATTCAACGATTAAAATGTTCCGCAAAAATAGATTTAATTAACTTACAATAGATTTTTCCGTCTATCGAACACTTATTTACTTCCGATTTAAAAAAAAGTTACTGTACACTTATAAATTACTTGAATATAAAGTGCTACTTAGAAGTGAATATTTATTAATATGTTCAGCCGTCAATCATAAATAATTAAAAGCAGATTCCTTTTGTAAATATGAAAGTTACATTTGGAATAGAAAGCTTAGTAGTTTTAATGAAGATGAGAAAAATAACTTGGACACATCATCATCATCATCATTGTTATTATTATTATTAATAAAGTGTTAAGTATTCCTCTAACACTAACTGTAGACGAAACATTTCCTAGTTTTGAATAGATGTCTTTGGTGACGTTTTCAATCTTAACACTGTGCCAAATCAATGACGTTCGACTAGTATGAGCAGTCTAGCGTCCTTATTGGTCCCTTGTCCACCTAGTCCTTCCAATTCAGTCCAGAACACCATTTACAGCTTCGGCTATGTGAATCTATGAGAATCATTTATTTCAAACATACTCAGTTTATATACCAGACAGACAGACAGAGCGCATCAAACCATAAAATAGAAAATAATATTTGTACAAGATCAAGCCAAATGTGGCTGTGAACTCGGGAGACAGTAATCAATAAACTGAATATAATTTAGGGACAGTAAATCGTATAATAATAATTCATAGATCAAAATGAAGCTTATGATAAAATGAATATAGATATACACAATCTAATTACACAATAGTTAAACAATAAGAATATATATAGAATAGTAATCCATTAATAGGTCCTGAGAGTTACCCGTACCTATGTCTTCACTAGGATATAACAGAGAGAATATTTGTTCAAACTAAAAGTAATTGGTGTTTGAGTTTCTCAGCAAAGTTTATCTGTAATTTACCATCATTAAAGTATTTAACGACACTACTAATGAAATCTTTTAGTCACGAGTGAATTAATTTAGGACTGGATCAAGTATATGAGTAGATTAATAAATGGTAATCAATGAAAATATTGATTTCCAAAATAATTATTCTCAAAACACTGATAGTTTTCAGCTTTTGGTGATTCAGTCGCCGGACTTCAGTTAAACTTAAAATGAGACCAATATGTTGAACAGTTTCAGCCTGGAAGAATCGTTTATAAATGTGTTCACTGGAAATAGGTTAATGCTGATAATCGAATGGGATAAATTGAATTACTGTTTATTAACTGCTTACTAAGGAAAGCAAAAATATTTTACTGAGAAAAAGAATAATACATAGAATTTACATTAGCAAGGAATCATGACTACATTTTTATCTTGTTTAAATGAAGAAATAAACTCAACTCATTATTGTTATTGATTTTAAGCCATCCCTTGGTTGCTTGTTTTATTTACATTTTAGATGTGTAGACCAAAACCGATCAGCTGATTAAAAAATCTGTCATACAGTAATCGAATAAGTTTAAAAACAAAATTATTTTAAGTAATATTAATAAATATAAACAAAGATTGATAGTTGCTGGCAGTGGAATCCAAGACGCGTCTTTCGTCATATTTAGGACTCGTCAGCTGGATGTACCAGCATCTCAGACTTCATGTTCACTCTGGGACTCGAACTCAGTTCCTTTTGTTTCAAACGCCAACACGTTATCCACTCAGCTTCTGAGTCCTGATAGCCACTTTCTTATACGATGGGATGGAGCTTAAATTCACTTAGTATTGCTTGTTTGAATCTTCCAATTGATGTTTAGGACTGCAGCTCGTCAGTCTCTATCCATCTTTGCTTACAGTGCATGTGAAGTAAGGCTACATCGAGGCAATATGCACAGTATACACATATGGCAATTAGAGATAGTTAAATATTTGATAAACTTCTAAACATCTAATTTCCATAAACGAAGTTTTCATTTTGAATAAATATTCAATTCAAAATATTCAGATCTTAGATTTCTATCCTGTATATGTTCAATATTAGAGAATTTCGTTGTACAGCGAAACTTATCTTCCAATAGCTTTCTAGATAAGGTTTGTTTGTAATGAAAGTTGGATAGAAACCATACCATACAACTGAAAGACCGTTAAGTGATGACCTCTTATTTATTTATTCAGTCCTTTAGGTTCTGGCCGCATTCCATCGATGAGAATGAAGTTTGATTATCAGTGTAGTTGACTGGAGATCGTGTTGAAATGTTCGTTGGTTGCAGGTAGTTAATCATGACTGAAATGATTAGACAAAAATGACAATAGTTACTACACAGTAATCAGTCATTTGTAAGCATCGAAATCCCACAAGAGGTCTGTTGTGACCCAAGTAGCCCAGTAGAAACGTCTGAGGTTATGAAGTAGGGTGACACGGGTTCAAATCACATAGTGAGTATCAGTTGCTTTGAGACTACAAGTAACCGATTTTCATGAGTACAAACTAGACTGAAACATAGATGCTATGTTCGTGTCACCTAATCCAATCAAACAATGATACAAAAATGTCAGTTAATTATCTTTTTACATTTATTTCACCGAATTCTATTTTCCTATAGGTAAACGTTGTTTATTACGACAAATTAATCAATAACATCTTGGGTCATGATAGCTTTTCTCGGTCGTATCCAACTGCAACATAATTTGTACAAAATAATAATTCTCAAAACACTGATAGTTTTCAGCTTTTGGTAGTTCAGTCGCTGGACTTCTGTTAAAAAGTATAACAAAAATTAAATCTTGATTACTCATTACTACTTACTACGAACGATATTACATAATCAGAAGATTGTTTACTATTGAAAACTCATTATTCGGTCAAATTATTAATTTTCTCGTTATTCATCACTTAAAATGTTCAAAACTTAACTGGTTGGTTGAAGTTAGACATTAACATCGTTAGATGCTAACTCAGTGGTGTAGGTGATAAGTGCTCGAGCGGGACTAAAAGTCCTGGGTTCTGATCGCGCGAGCGGGATTGTGGATATGCACTAATAAGGAGTCATATACCATGACGAAACGACCGTTCAGTGCTTCCAGGTTTCCCATGGTGGTCTAGCTTTAATCGACTAATGAACACAACTATTAAATTGCTACAATCTCCGCAAAACATCTTTCTAGGAAACAGAAGTTTATTATACACATTTAACAACAACACAGAATCTAAAATTAATTGATAACTTAATGGTGATCACTGTCATATTTGTCTAGTACTTTAATACTAATCCGATTTTATCGATCAAGTTGCAAAGTAGCCACTCGTATGAATGACTTGACATCACATATTTTATGTCTAGATGTTGGATTGTTTAATATAAGAAGCTTCTTGCTAGTCACTTCCAGTCACCTAACATAAACGATCTTTTCTTGTTTATTTGTTTCCAACCGGAATTGTGTATAATTAGATAATGTGATTAGTCTAACAGTAATGGTACCTAAATAATTACTCAGAGAAAATATCATCATCCGCTTATAAGTCAATGTGATTTTTTTCATAATTAACCAATATAAATATTGACAAACTTGATGTTATATCAACATTCACATATTTTTCATAATTGAAATCATGAATCAATTGAAGCTAGATCACCATGAAAAACCTGGAAGTACTGGACGGCCGTTTCGTCCTATTGTGGGACTCCTCAGCAGTTCGTATCCACGATCTCGCCTCACGAGGCTCAAACCCGGGATCTACCAGTCCCGCCCCAGAGCACTCAACCGATAGACCATTAAGCCGGCATCCGATAATGTTAATGTATGAATTCAACCAATCCAAGAAATTTGAGCAACCATTCACCAATGTCTTCAGTGAGTTGATATCTCGTGGATGCGTACTGTTGAGAAGTCCCACATTAGGACGAAAGGGCCGTCCACTTCTTCCAGGTTTTCCATGGTGGTCTAACTTCAATCGACTTATGATTTCAAGTATGAAAAATACTGAAATCTCCACAAAACCACTTCTGATTTACACATTTATAAAAAACCTCAAGAAATTATATTTAATGTAATTGTTTATTCATTATACACAAATGATGAAAGATAAAAACAAAAATTGTCAATGATTATTGCCTATTCTTTGTCAATTTTTTATTCATTCATATTTGAGTAGTAAGTTGTTCTATTCATCATCACGTTACTTTGTGTACCTTTAAAAAATAAAAAAAATTTTTTTTAGAAAAATATCAACAGTTACTCTTGGTAACTAATAAAATCAATAGTAAAAAAGACACCATATTTCACATGATGAACTCATATTAACTAGAAAACCATTGAAACAATAGATAAGATGTTTTATTTTAATATAGAACTAGAATCATGATGGTCAAGCTTCAATTGACTTATGCTTTGAACTATGAAAATAATGAAATCTCTACTAAAAACTCCTTCTGATAGAACTTCATAACATTACTCATATATAACTTCATCCATGGTCGAACTCATGACCTTCAATAGTATAAGTGAAAGAGATATTTGAAAATTGTTTATTAATACATGTATACAACTTATTATAATGGTCTGTTTACAATTTTTTTTACACACGAATAGGACATTGATTTACTTTAGATGAATATCTAAAGTACATTCCCTCTCAGTGTCTACTCTACAGGACTTCAACAAAATTTAGATGAAGAACACGTGGTTAGACTGATTAGAATGTAAATATATATTTCCATACCAAAACTCGACACAATCCAACAACAATGAACAATCAATTTATAAATTCACTTAGTATTGTTTGGTTAAATCTTCCCATTGATGTTTAGGACTGGAATTGATCAGTCTCTTATTGGCATAAGTGCATACTGTGCGTATTGTCTCGCTATAACCTTATTTCAAAACTATTGTAGGCAAAGATGGATAGTGGCTATCAGTGGAATCCAGTTTGACACTCGTTTCGTCCTATTTGAAACTCGTCAGCTGGATGTACTACATCTTAGAGTTGATGTTCACTCTGAGACGAGTCTGACGAGTCCCAAATAGGACGAAACGAACGTAAAACTGGATTCCGCTGCTAGCCATTGTCCATCTTTGCCTACAATGCTTGTGAAATAAGGCTATATCGAGGCAGTACGCACAGTATGCACATATGTCAATAAGAAACTGACCAGTTGCAATCCTAAACATCAATGTGAAGATTCAAACAAGTAATATTAAGTAAATTTATGTGACGATATATTAGCGTGATACATTTCGAACAATCTGATCACACATAATACACTTGTTAAGAACACTTATATATAAAAACAAAAGGTCAACTAGACTAGAAATGGGAAGAAAGAGGAGACAAGGATAATAATAATAATGATAATAATAATAATAATGTGAAAACAATTTGAAACCTAATCACTAAGGATAATAAGCTAATATTACCAAGGTAGGTTTAAAGTGAGAACAAACTGTTTTTGAATGCACAAAGGGTGTTTGAATTTTTGTATGGCTAAGGCTTCAATAAACCTTAGTATACCCCTTCTACAGTATTGAAATGTATCAAAGGGACTAATTACTTTAAATTTTATTTACATTATCATAAATTTTGATCATGAGACGGTTTCTTATCATAATAACAGTTAGCAAACATACTACAGTTAAAATATTTTATTATCGTAATCGTTATTTCCAAAATTATGATGAGTACACTTTAAATTTCCTTCACATCTATATAACGGTGTGTTACTATAGTGTTATATCCGTATCTCTTAATCCTTATACTTGTAGTATCGGTTACTATGTTGAGCCCACATAACTTATTTTAGCTTCTGGACAAGTCAATTTATTCATTCTACTTGAGTCACATTTTGACCTTGTTAAGTATTCGCTTATCATTCCTGACTGTTTTTATATGACCGTATTTGTGCGAGTACACCTGTTACACTATTCATCACATATCTATAACTTATATATAAATATCAATCAACTATTGATTAAATCGAGTTGGCTCATTTGCGTTTGCAAATTATTTCACTCTTCCCATATTTTTCGTCTCCCTGATTGCTTGTTCAAATTACTAAAATATACATATTCATAATCTTTCAAAGTTGAAATCATGAGTCAATTGTAGCTAGACCACCATCGAAAACCTGGAAGCACTGGACGGCCGTTTCATTCTATTATAAGACTCCTCAGCAGTGCGCATCCACGAACCCACTCTCGCGAGATTTGAACCCAGGACCTACCAGTCTCGAGCCGAAGCCGTTAACCGATAGACCACTGAGAAGGCATCCAACAGTGCAAATGCCTAACTTCAACCAATCCACTAAATTGAGCTACCCTTCTTATATTAATCAAGATATGCTCACTAGTGACTGGCTTAAAGAAATATTTCCTGGAGTTCTAGTGAGAAGCAATAACCAGTGGATTTCAAATAGGTCTGTTGTGAGATGGTAACTCACTGAATACAACGGTAGTTGTGACGGTCAATTTCATGGATTGGTTGAAGTTACACATTAACATCGTTGGATGCCTGTCGGATCAGTGGTCTAGAGGTTAAGCATTCACGTGCGAGACTGGTAGGTCCTGGATTAGAATCTCGTGGGGCGGTATCGTGGATACGCTCCACTGAGGAGTCCCACAATAGGACGAAACAATCGTCCAGTACTTTCATGTTGTCCATAGTGATAATTCATAATATCAACTATTAAAATCACTAAAAATCTCCACCAAATCCCTCCTTCTACCATTCATTCAATACTATTTACTCATAATAATAATAATAATAATAAACAACAATACTATTTACTTACTATCAACATATGCTGTAGTTTGTACATAAGTTTCTGTTACTGTATTTGATATATCTCTTGTATTCATTGTATCATATTTATAATCATCTAATAATTTACTTAATTTTTCATTTTTACGTTGTATACGTTGATTTTTCAATAGATCATTACATCCATTATTAATTAATTCATCTAAAAAATTATCAATATTTATAGCTGATATAATACAATGATAATTAATAGATTTTCTACATAATGGACATTTATTACTTATTTTAAACCAGTAATATAAACATTCACGACAAAATTGATGTCCACATATTAATAAACGTGTATTTACTAATAAATTATGACATATTGAACATAAAAATGTTTGTTTAATTAAATGATCTAATAATTTATTATTTGTTAATTGTATTGTATTTATATCAATTAAAGGATCATCTATATCAGTAGTATTAGTATTAGTAGTAGTAGTAGTAGTATTAGTAGTAGTAATAGTATGTGATTGTGAATCAATTAAGCAATATGATAATAATTCATTGACTTGTGTAGATTGATTATGTAATGATGATTTCATAATTAAATTAAATTTAATTAATGAATAATTAATTTTGTATTATAATGAATAATTAAGAAAAACGGGAGAGAAATTTATACAGTAACCATATTAGGTTTTCTCGTTCTCTTATTCTCTCTCTCTCTCTATATATATATATATATATACACCATTTATTGCTAAAAATACTCAAATGGATACATTTGAGTATGTTTGTTGTTGGTGGTGGTGGTGGTTACTGATGATCATATGACTTGAAATGTAACCATATAGTATAGCCTGGATAGTTTATGAAAAACAAAATGGTATGTGTTAGAGTGATTGTATTAGTAATAAGACTATATAGATTATTGCATTCATATATGTATTCATTAAAATGGAGTTATAAAAAAACAACTTGATATTGAATAAAATGAACCTCGTGGTTAAATATGTGAAAGGATGTTGTAGAAAAAAATTTATGTGAAGTGATTGATTCTCTCTTATTGAAGTTAATTTTGTATGACATTTAATTACTTACTTACTTAGTTACGCCTATTACCCCTCGTCGAGGAGGATAGGCCGTTCACCAGCATTCTCCATCCAACCCTATCCTGGGAAATCCTTTACAGTTTTTTCCAGTTAACATTCATTCTTTTCATATCTGCTTCTATTTCAAGGCGTAATGTGTTCTTTGGCCTTTCTCTTTTCCGCTCCCCTTCACGATTCCAAGTTAGGGATTGAGTAGTGATGCATTTTGGTGATGTTTTTAATATATGTCCTATCTACCACTTCTAACGTCTTTTCCTAATTTCCTCTTCAGCTGGAAGCTGGTTTGTCCTCTCCCATAAAACGCTGTTGCTGATAGTATCCGGCCAGTGGATGTTGAGTATTTTGCGTAGACAACTGTTTATAAATACTTGTACCTTCCTGATGATGGTCCTAGTAGTTCTCCACGTTTCAGCTCTGTACAGTAGAACTAACTGTCTTGACGTTCGTATTAAAGATTCTGACCTTGAAATTGGTTGAGAGTTGTTTTGAGTTCCACATGTTCTTCAATTGTAGTTAATAATAATTATTTACTTGGTGGCTTGAACATGTTTTACGAATGATGTCCCAGAGAATTCCATCGTCGTGCATTATTTTCTGACGCTGGGACTGGCTGGAAAAGGCGGAGAGGTGGTCAGTGTATGACATAGTGTCATGGTATGAAAGAAAGCTGCACGGGGGATGGCTTCTGCTGGTTATTCACGACTCCCTGGTTGGGGTTCAAGAGATGGTGCAATACAGTGGCTAGAGACGTTATCAGATATGGCTCAGAATAGAAGCCAGTGGCGATCCTGCTGTAACTTCCTATTACTTTCTTCATAAAGAGTGGTTATAACTTACTTAACTGAAAGAGATCTTGTGGTTGTACATTTCTGTTTCCCCCATCGTTACTCTTTTTTTCACTTTTCATTTTTCTTACATATATATAATTTGTTCCCTCAGGATACTGGAACCCATCATAGTTGTCGTAGTTCTTCAATTTTCAGCTTTGTTAATGCCTTGTTATCTTGAACTTATTGATTGGTTTGCAATTTTATAAGCTAAATAGATTGAAATTGTTTAATTAACTGTTTAATGTTTGACTTCATAATAGACCAACTATTTCGGTAATGATAAATATCGTTTTAAAACCTATTCAATGTTAACTTTCGGAATGTGAGTAGTATTGGGTAAGTTGGTAGATTTTTCCTAATCTATAATGTTATGAACTACAATAAGAAACAGTGAGAACTATAAAATTTAATTCCTAGTTTATAAAAAAAAGTCAATAATAGTTACAAACTGTTTTAGTACACTGTAACATAGTGATTAAAGACTATATAACAGGATATTTATTAATGATGGAAAATGCTTCAGCATTCACCCTTATCTTTGCTTATTTGTATTGTTTCACATATTACGTAATTTCTGATTAGTAAATAAATGATTAACTCTCTAATCCCATGTTAACCATATTTATTCTGATCATATATCTCACAATTTCATATAATCTAATATTAATTTCCCAGTGAAAACTCTCCTTATATTATGGTGTGGTTTACTTATATCCACAGAAGTAGTATATAACGGTGGTCAGACATTGAATGTAGTTCAGTAGATGATCAATAATGAAAGAACGGGAACGAAATGCAGTTGGTATGAAAATGTATGAACAATAATAATCGGAGACGATGGACTGATATTTTCAGAAGGAACGGTGTAGATTGAGACAATTGATTGATAGTTTGTAAATTAACTATTTACAATATTTGGTTCTCATATTTTTCTGGGATATTCTGTAATTTTGTGCCTAGATTCATTCAATTGTCCCCGCTCGTCTTGTTGTTCACTACACTACGAACATACTCGAGAATATTCAAAAGCCGGAACACCAGTTGTCGGGATAGGGTATCATTGATAATTAATAAAATCTGCGAGCACACAAAAAGCAAGCACACTGACAAGGAAGTGAGTGAGCGGGTAATAAGTCGGAATATCTAGATCTATTTGATGAGTGTCAGTCAATTGTGGGTAGTTTATTAATTGTCTATGTTGGTAGCTAATCGGAAGATATATAAAGATTGAAGTGTAGACATGCATTCAATCGGGCCCACACGTATTTTTATATAATGGGTTAATTGTCTAGATCATGGCAGTTATGTAATAAAAAATTCAATGGGCTTACTATAGGCCTCCATCATCTACACAGATTGTCTATGTTGGTGATCTACAAATTTATAACAAAGAGACTTTAATTTTCATATGCTTACTTTATTTAACATTTCCAATTTTCCTTTAACGAACTGTAGTTGATAAATATAAACCGATATTATGTATCCGAATGTCCTTAACGAATCGCATCAACCTGAAACTGTTAAATCAGTGTTTTGAAACTGCTATAGCCTCAATAGTTTTGTAGGAAAGATAAAACTAAAGTGACAGTTATGAAGTCGTTTTATTCGAGTTTTCTACGTCTGCAAATTTCAGTTGGTTTCTTCATAGCTCGTTCTTGTAAATGAGAGGTCTGTGAGAAAATTAGAAGTTAAATTTCGGTGAAATTTACATTGCATTTCTGTTGCTAGATGCTTACGTTCGCTGAAAACAAACGTTAGTGCATAAACAGAACATTCTTGCACACATTTTGTTTATGTAAACCGACCTAGGCAATGTGAATGTGTTGTTAGTCCCGATAAAAAGCTCAGCACTAACTATTTTGGGATAGAACAGAAAAGAGGAGTCTCCTTAATAGTCATAGCTCAAGTACTCCACCACAAATGACTTGTAAGGCCAGTGACATGTCACTGGCCTATTGTGAGACTCTTCAGCAGTGCGCATCCACGAAACAGCTGTCCAGTGCTTCTAAGTTTTCCATGGTGGCCTAACTTCAATTGACTCATGATTTCAACTATATATAAAAATTATTAGTTTTAATTGAACAATTTTCTTAGGTTTAACATCACTTCACACCTATGCACATATATGTCAAACTTATTCAGTTATATGATTAAAGATGACGTTAGTATTTCTATATTTAGTTATATAAATATTTTCTCTCTCTCTCTTTATAGTAACTAAGCCAGAAACAACGAACGTGATCTACCTCAAGATACATTTAAAAAAAAATAAAACACAATACAATTTACACCTACAATAAAAATACATTATTACTTTTATTACCTTCATGAAGTTGAATACCAAGTGAGGTAAATATTGTTTTTTTTTAAAACAAATTATTGTGTTAAGTTTTACATTTCTTTGTGTTGCCATGGTAACTGTCACTTTGTTTGTTGATTTTTATTAGTGTGACATGCACATTTTTTTTCTGATTGATTAATCTATCATCGTGGCATTCTGAAAACAATATTTTATGTGGTACATTAAATCACATGTGACAAATAAATGTTTTAGATATTATCATAATAATAGTTTTTGTGGATATTATAACAATTTCAATAGTTGAGATCATGAGTTAGTTGAAGCTAGATCACCATAGAAAATCTGGAAGGACTGGATGGCTGTTTTGTTCTATTGTGGGATTACTCAGCAATGTGCATCCACCATCTTGCTTCAGGGGATTCAAATCCAAAATCTATCAGTTTCTTGCGCGAACACTTAAACTCTAGACCACTGAACCGTCTGGGATCGAAAAGTGTTAATGTCTAACTTCAATCGATTCACTAAATTGAGCAACCATTCAGCAATATCTTCAGCGACTTGATATCTCCCAGCAGACCTGAATGAACTCCACTGGTCACTGCTTCTCACTAAAACTCCAGGAAATACCAGTCACTAGTGAGCAAATAATCATTATTAGAAGGAGGTTGTTTGTGGAGATTTTAGTAATTTTATATAGTTGAGATCATGAGTCAATTGAAGCTAGACTACCATGAAAAACCACTGTAATCAATGTAGTTATCGTTTCAGTTTATAAAAAAAACACAAGAACAATAACTGGTGTAAGATGATAATGGGAATTTATTTATTTTGCTGATTATCCTTCAGAAGGGGTTTTGTGGATATTTCAGTATTTTCATAGTTGAAATCACGCGTCAATTGAAGCTAGACCACCAGGGAAACTTGGAAGCAGTGGACGGCCGTTTCATCCTATTATGGGACTCCTCAGCAGTGCGCATCGACGATCCCGCACTCGCGAGATTTGAACCCAGGACTTACCAGTCTTTCGAACAATTACAGCCTGAAATAATAATTTCATCCTTAATTATTTAAAAAGAAGTCAGCGTGAACATTTATTAAATATGTTTATAGGAAAGCATTGACTGTAAATGTAGATCACATTGATGCGAAACAAGTAAAAGAGATTACTATTAAAGGATTGACACAAAAAAACATTAATGGAGTTAGCTATTTGTTGCATTATAGTGGACACTACTAATAAGATTGCTTATAAGTAGTGTGCAGTGGAGGATTACGTGTGAGTTGCTACAGTTAACATTTAGAGACAGGTGCGATTACTTGTGAGCCCAGAAGAAAAGCTATAGAGGACATCCTACCATCAGCTTAGGTTGCAAAATACACAATAGATGCAAATGGAAGATTGAAGACTAAGTGTATAGAATTTATAAATAATATGTGTTCCCCTCTAATTAAATCTAGTTATTCCTTCTGGTCTTGGTTTGTTCGAACATTACAGTTTCATTACATCAGACCAACCAAAGTTTATGTATTGAAATAGAATCAACCTTTGGGGGATCATAATTTTCGATATTCAGCAAATAAACAATTTATTTCTAAGCAGTATACATCCACAACTATACAGAGGATGAAACAAAAAATCTTCAGTACTCTTACTAAGCTGAGTTTAATGATTTACGTGTTCAGCTTCAGTTAGTCCTTGACATTGCACAACTATCTTTCAATGGCATCGGTTGGCAGCTGTTTCGATCCGGACATGGTGGAATCATATGCTGATGATATTATTCAGAATGACATTTAAAGCTTTATAACTAAACTATTTATCTCTAACATCCTCACCTTGAGCTACAGATATTCTCTATTATAGTTGAACTGTATTAATCATAATTTCTCATTAAAACTCTAGGAATTACCTCTATTGGTAGCTCATTGTTTAGGAGTCCTATACTAGAATGAAATAACTATCCAGTACCATCTGATTGTCTAAAATTAATTCGTCATGTTAACTATAAAGATTCAATAATTTCAACAATCCCACTAATATTAATATACGTTTATGTTTCTTTTATTGTTCAGTTACGTCAAACAAGATAATGTAACATTTACAAACGATTTGAGATATAGATAACCAATTTAGAATGTATTAGCTAGAAAACGAAAGAACAAACAAAAAAACAAACAAAACAATCGCGCACTGCTGAGGAGTCCAACAATAGGACGAAACGGACGTCCAGTCCTTCCAGGTTTTCCATGGTGGTCTAACTTCAATTAAATCATGATTTCAACTATATATAAACGAAACAAATGCATGATAACATGTAACAGTATGCAAAATCAGAACAACGTAAGAATTAAGATGATTGACATAAACATGTCAATTACTTCAATTTATAATAAACATTAAATGATGAATAGTCTGAAGTCAACAATTGAATGATGAGAATGTAATGGTCATTTTGTTTTTTTAAGAAAAAAATGTTTTTCATTTCAAATAAATCTACTTCAATAGTTTTGTCTTGTTGATGAGTTGTATGATTGAGTTATGTAAAAATCTTCCAGATTTTCCATGGTGGTCTAGTATCAATTGACTCATGATCTCAGCTATATAAAATTACTAAAATCTCCATAAACCCCCTTTCTAATAATGATCATATGATCGCTAGTGACTGACTCCATGAAGTATTTCCTGGAATTCTAGTGAGAAGCAATAACCAATGGAGTTCAACCACGTCTGTTGTGAGATAGTAACTCACTGAAGACATTGGTGAAATGGTTGCTCAATTTCGTTGATTGATTGGAGTTAGATATTAACACCGTTGGATGCCAACCGTCTCAGTGGTCTGTGGGGTTAAGCGTTCACGTGCGGGACTGGTAGATCCTGAATTGGAATCTCGTGAGACGGGATCGTGGATGCACACTGCTGAGGAGTCCCAGAATAGGACAAAACACCGTCCAGTGCTTCCAGGTTTTCCATGGTGCTATGGCTTCAATTGACTGATGATCTCAATTATGTAAAACTACTAAAATCTCCACAAAACCCCCCTTTTAATAAAAATCTTATATCTTATTCTCAACCCTATCACATACATGCATATAATGTGGTCCGGGATCTGACTCCAGTTAGATCGTAAAAACGATCGTTATTCAATGATTACTATAAAAATATATATTTTTCTCCCATCCTCGTGTATAATTATCGACTTAATCCGCGTTAGTGAATAATGGAATTAAATAAGTCGAATATGAGAATGAATTTTGAATACGTTTATTTCATACAATCGTTGATGCAGACAAATTAGCTATGAGAAGAGAGCAAAGCAAAATGACGCGCAGTGGAGAAGGCGTGTGAGCCAACTCGATTTAACCAAGAGTTGATCAATATTTTTCTTCTCATAAAAATAAGTTACAGACATGTGATGAATAGGATAAGAAGTGTACATACACATATACTCTCATTGAAAAACAGTCAGGGTTGATAAGCGAAGACTTAACAAGGTGAAAATGAGACTCAAGTAGAATACTAATCACTTGCAAGATCTACACTCAAATTGATTAGAATCTTTTCGATCTATCCCTGGACTACTCATATAATCGCTCTAAGCTGTCAGTACAGTTTAATTCTAACCTTTTTACTATGAGAGTTTTGTGGAGGATCGTAAGGTTCTGGATTTTGACCTTCAATAGTGCTTTACATTCTCACTGTTATTAAAGTTTCTTGTACTAGGACAAAACATCTATCCAGTGCTTTCTAGGTTCCAGTGGATGTCATCTTCTCAATGAATTAGTTTTGGTTGTTAGATAATTTCGCATTATTACAACTACCTCCAACTATCTAACCAATGTCAAGTAAACTAAACTACCAGCAAAACAGTGAGACAAAATGTACTTCCAAGATTTCAATCCTAATGATTATTCAGTTTTAATAAAAATTGTGATAACAAATGATTCATAATTAATACACTTTCATATTAAGCTAACTGATTTATCTAACCTATTGTGTAATTGTGTAAATTCGTTCGAACTTAATTAATTATGATTTAGAAATAATATGAATACTAAAAATCCTTGAAAATTGTAGATGTGTGTTAAAACCTGTAAGATGAGTGCCCTGTTAATGTATAACGAGATAATACCGCCAATTAGAGAACAGTGACTTATCAATCGGACTAGTGACAAACGAAACCCGTTCGAGCAGTCTAGAGCACTTGTCGGTCCTGCTATTTGCCTAGTCCAGTGATTTAAGTAAAGAACACCAATCTCAGCCTCTGCGGTATCAATCTTTTATTTCAAATATGCTGGTTTTCTATACCAAGCAGACAGACCATATCGTAACATAAAATAAAAAAACAACATTTGTACAAGATTTAGCCAAATGTGGCTGTTAATAAGGGTGTTACGTCCTTGATCTCTCTATCCACTTTCGTGCCGAGGATAACTTGTCTAATGTAGATTAAGACCGTGAAGCGATAGGCTGACTGGCTTCATCTTGAGGCTAGTATGCGTGAGTTTGAAGTGGTGTAGAGAGACAAAAACCATTCTATCACCTGATTGACTGATAGGCATGCAAGAGAGAGAAAACAAGTCAACTGGAACACTACTCGCTTTATTCCAAAATCCGATCTGATTCCCGATTCCCGATTTGTGTAAAAAGATACATGAATAAATAGATAACTAACCAGACCACAACATAAAACAATTAGGAAAATACAATTATGTCCAAAACTGGGGGATTAGAGTAGAAAATAGAGCATAAAAGACTACGTCTAAATTACAGTAACTTTGGAACAGAAAATGCTATGGTAGTGAATCATACATCAAACGAAATCTTATGATCTGTAGAATAGACTAGGGACAAAAGTAAATGTTACTATTATACAAGCTTTGAATTAAATAAAATAACGTTCCCTAAAATAGCTTTCGTAGTTTGTTAAGGCTTCTTGATTCCCTGTTCACATCAAAGGGAGATAGTAATTGATAGATAGGGTATAACTCATAAATAGTAAATCGTATAATAATCATTCATAGATCAAAATAAAGCTCATAATAAGAGGGACATGAATATGAATAGTTTTTTGATTAGTTAACAATTATATAATAAAATATATATGTATCATGTTGGTTCATAAATGAATCTCAAAGGTTACTACTATTCATTATTCTTATTGAGACATAACACTCAATGTGTAAACAATGAAGATTTCAACCTGTTTTTTTCTTATTTTCGGATGATGTGAACTTTGAACTGATGTAATGATAAAGAAGATTTTGCAACTTAACTGAATGATTTCGATAGAGTTTTTGATCTTTGAGCTAGATGAATTAGTATTGATAGAGCTTTCATTGTTTTTCTTCAATTATTATGACAATATAAGTAGTAATAAGTAGTAAATAAAAATTATTTTAATTATTTTACAAACACACACACACACAAAACGGAAAATAAAATGACCTTTGTTATTCTATGAAAAACTATATTTGATCAAATTTTTGTATAGAATAAAGATTAATTCTATCTTTTCATTGCTTCAGATCAACTATTGGAATATGCATAATCACTTGTGTATAATCATTTTGGTTCTAATGGGTTTTAACTATATCAATGGAATACCAAGTAAGTTAATAATCTTTGGTACAATCAAGAGATACTTTTGCTGTTGTTGTTGTTGAAACTTTCTGGAAATTGATTACTTACTTACTTACTTACTTACGCCTGTTACTCCCAATGGAGCATAGGCCACCGACCAGAATTCTTCAACGCACTCTGTCCTGCGCCTTCTTTTCTAGTTCTATCCAATTTTTGTTCTCCCTTCTCATGTCTGTCTCCATTTCTCGACATAATGTGTTCTTTAATCTTCCTCTTTCCTTATTGTTTATTTGAACTTTACTTATAATTGTTTAAGACTGTAATTGATCAGTTTGTTATTGAGATATGTGTATACTGTGTAGATAGCTTCGATATTGTTTTAAGTCACAAGGATTATAAGCAAAGATGGATGGTGATAAGTGTTGTTGATTGAACGCTATGCTGGAATCCTCAGATAGTCTCGTAACCCCCAAGCTAGAACTACACAGCAACTTGAACACGAGAGAAAAGGTGTAAAATATACGAGAAGCACTTTACTCCTAAGGTTCATTTACGTACAGAAAATATAGGGTTGTTATAGTATTTTAAAAGTCGTTGGGCTTCCCTGAAAATTCTAGAATGCTACTAAACATAGTAACAGTATAGTAATCAGCCAACCAGAAACTCTACATGTGACTTATCATTTACGCAATGCTTCTAGCAAAACTTCTAATCAAACGCTGATTGGATAAAATGCTTCATAATGTTTCCTGAGCTTGTCATGTCTATTGCGAGAAATTTTCAGGATCATCTCAACAGATGGTACATTCAGCTGACGTGTCTCAAATAGAATGGGACGCGTGTCTTGGATTCCACTGCTATTCATCTTTGGTTCCTTTAAGAAGTTTAAATAAGATTTTCAACCGAAATGTTTGAAATCAAGTATTTTTTTTTACGTATTCTATTGATTCGGCACTCAGTTTATTTCAAACTATTCGTTCACATTTTGACGAAACTAATTTTACTAAGATATTCTCAATGTTTTATAATCATTCTAAGAACGTTGGTTCTAATTACGAATTAAGAATAAATGAGTCAAACCAGGCATTATGTACACTGATTGGTAGATGAGTTGTAATTAGTGTCATATTTATCTAGTCTTTTAGCGTTGAATGAATTCTGTCAATCAAACCTAAGTGACTCGATGATCGTGAATATTATGTTTTGATATAAGATGTTTAAATGTGGTCGGATTATAAAGCTAAGAGATCTCACATGGGTCATCGTTTCCATCAAGTTTGTATGTATACTTGACTGATTTGTTTCAGGGTATCTTATCGAATATTTAAAGTCACTTAACATTATGTACGTAGTATTTGAAGTTTGGAAAATCTCGTTTATTGCAAGGTGTGCAACGTAAAAGTAGACAATCAAATCGACTTTCACAGGTCCTACTGTAGTGAATGAATACTCAGATACAGTGCATTTATAAAATATAAAAATCACTTGTATATCTTCCTTAATTTTTCCTTCACACTCCATCATTCTTCCAATTCTTTCTTTACACAGATGTCTCTCTAGTTTCTTTCCACTTCTGTTTATTTCACTCTTTTCCCTTGGTAAGCATTCCACACCCTACTCCTGCCACACACTACTTATCTGTATCCACATATAAAGCGCAAATCACATTATACCATTTTGTTGTTTGATAGTGAAACACACTTTAAAGAGTGAAGAAAGCTGCTTTTTTTCATAGTAACTTTATGACAGTTAGAAGATTTGAAGTTAACATTTATAAAATGAAACATATGTGTATATGTATATGATATATTGGTTAACTTATTAGCTTCTTGAACAGTACCAAGACTTGAACTTGAGGAAACTCTAAGAAGCTCAGAAGGAGCTGAACATATTCCACCTAATGAGCTTTTGGAAGATAATTTCAGAATCACTACATGTAGCTTCCCTATTGGACAATGCTAATAAACTCCTGTGTGCGGATTGGATAACTATAATGATGATTTCGTTTTTACTAAAAACTATAAATACCTGACAGTTTTGTACCATAATTGACACTGTATTGGGAATGACATTCCTACTTACTAGTCTTCTTGTAGGAAGCAATTTCCTACAGGGGTAACTTCAAGCTATTCTCTAAACTGTCGAATACAGAGTCCTGGTTTCGCAAAAGTCAGAACAAGTAAGCTATTTGGCTTAATAAACTTTATCTGTTTCTAAAACGTAAATTAACAACATTAGTATGCGAATAAACAGTAGTCTATTACATAGTGAAAGGGAGAAATATAAATGACATACCGAACAGTAAGTGGAGAATATGAAAAATGAGTCAAAAGGGAGAATATTGTTTCAGAATGAACATAAAATTGTGATTGGTGGATAAAACAAAGACAGTCATACAAGGTCAAAGAATTTAGTGCGGTGGTGAGCGTTTCACCTATCATTGGTGTGTTCACTTATCGATCACACTTTACATTCTGTCTTCTCTCTTGTGACGTCGCAGCTTCGATCGTTCAAGTAGTGTAGTAGTACATGGCATAGCAAGAATCTAAAGCTCTAGATATAACAATACAATAACCTTATAAAAAGTATTAGAATAATATTTCATGTTTGCAGTTATAAAAAAGAGTATTGAAGTTCAGGAACTCACTGAAGACAATTGGCGAATGGTTGCTCAATATCGTGGATTGGTCGAATTTAGAAGTTAACACCATCGGATGCCGGCCGGTTCAGTGGTCTATCAGTTGAATGCTCTGTCGCAAGACTGGTAGGTCGTGGGTTTGAATCTCACGAGGTGAGGTCGTGGATGTGCACTACTGAGGAGTCCTACAGTGGAATGAAACGACCTTCCAGTGCTTCCAGATTTTCCTTGGTGGTCTAGCTTCAATTAACTCATGCTTCAACTATGAAAATATTAAATTTCCACAAAACCCCTTCTGACTGTAGAATGTTTAACCCTCCCCACCCACCCAAAAAAAACAGTATTCTAATACTACAATAAATTCATTGAAATCATTAAAAGCTATTTTGATAGTTTATCAGTGATTCTTTTTGTAGTCATCTGGTTAAATGAACAATGGATCAGTCAAACTGACAGTTATGAAGTAATATGAGGTTAGAATTACCTGTAATTTATATACAGTTACATGCATATTATATATATGAGTAATTTCTCTTTATAATATAATAAAATGGTATCATTTATATTTCCAGCAAAGATTTTTTTCTTCTTTTGGTATTCCATCATATTATGGTATAGTTGTTAATTGAACGTTCATTGTATATTGTCATTATAGGTATTTATTCAACTTGTGCAAATTTAACTCAAAGATGTGAACCAGTTTATCCATGTTGTTCACCAAATCTATGCCAAGTAATAAGTAGTGAAATTGGTACATGTGTAGAATGTTTTCAATTAGAAGTTGATTGTCAATATAACCAACAATGTTGTAGTGGTCTCTGTTTTAAAAATGTTTGTACAATGTTGTCACTAAATTAGCTTATTTATATACATGTCATGTGATAATGTTTACAATATAAACATATAATTATGTAAAATGTTATTAAATATTTTGATGATTTCCGACATAACGATTATAACTGCCTAGTAGTTATATGATGATTAACGTTTTTCTAACGAGTTGATTTTCTACGGGATAGGGTCGCTAACCCCATGCCCAATCCTTCTCATTTATCTGAGATTGGGATGGGCATTAGCCCTCGGAGGAGCTACAGGCGGAGTTATGTTAAACGCTAAGTGCACATTAATTAGTTCCAGGTTGTAAATCTTCGTTTGCATTGAACCTGCGCTGTATGCAATACTTCCGGTATAATTTTTGGATATAATTATATATCTTTTAATAGTATTGATGCGAACAGAGAAACAAGGAGCCTTGACAAACTACGGAAGCTATTTTGGGGGGACGTTATGGATAAAAAAAAACATAAAATGGTCCATTCGTGATATTCATCATCGTTTTTATCAGTTAGGATTGCAATTCCTAAACAATATATAACGCAATACTATAGGTCAGTCAGGCATCAATCAAAAGAGAAACTCACGTGACTGACATGTCATGGCTTTGTCAAGGAAAGAGACACACCTCGTTGGTGGAAAATTTTACCGAAATTTCAAAGGAAATGAAAAATTCATACGTATGAGTGAGTGTAGAGTTACTTCTTGATTCGGTCGGTTAACAAATCGCTTTCTTCTCGCTCACTCTCCTATCTCTACCTCGTTCTCGGTGTTCGTACAAGGTAGACGATTGGTCTTTCAAACAGGAAGCTTGCGTATCATTATCATATTCCTACACCTCAATACAAAATAAACCCTGTAAGGAAAGTTCTTTCTGATATGACGTTGTGAAAGTAAATGTTTTTCTAATGACAGATTGATGAATATCACAAAATATCCATTCATACCAAATCTGCTATTTTTTGCATGGAGTTGAATTAGCTTTGAAATCATCTATATGACATTAACAGGTTGCTTGCAGTTTACAGAAAATATAACCAATGCTAGTTGAATTTGGTAACACACATTCTTCTTTTAGTTATTCATCAAATATAATTATAATGACATATTTTCTTGAATTCCAAGATCATAAATTACCAACTGATTGTCTGACTAATTATTCTATGGATCTAAGCTGTTAATGCGAACAAAGTATCAATGGAAAATTCATAGAAACTTGTCTGTACAGTATTGGGTATTAATGGTGTAATCGAAATATGAATTCCACCAACTCTTCGATATGCCTAAGTATACCTTTAGAAATAATTAAAATGTTATTTTTTTATGCCATTCTATCAATTTTACGTACTACTTTATACTACTTATTGTTATCATTCAGTAGTTTATGTATTGTCAATAAGTTTTGTAAGTTTTCATGTTTGATGTTGGTCGTCTGTAATGAACTATGAATCCCAAATCGTTCAATTTTTACTCAATTTTTGATTCCAGTCTCTTACGCGAGATAGCATTTCTCTTCCCTTCTTAATAATCAGATTGTGATGACCTCAAAACTCCTTTGAGCATCTCGATTCATTGAACGAAGTTAAAACTCGACCAGTTATCCTACTAAGAAGGGATGAATAGACACAATGAGAAACGTAGAGAAACACACATCATTGTTGGTATGGTTTTGAACTATGCCTTTATTTATATTCAGGAACGAACTCTGATCACTATCTGTCAAGATAGGAGCATCCTGTGCGGAGTGCCTCGAAATAACCATTGTCAAAAGTTATTTGGAATAGATGGATAGAGAATAACAGTGAAGTTCAGAATACTTCCTTCGTACATTCTGGGACTCGTGAGTTGTATGGGATAACTGCGACGTAAAATCGTAAAAATAGAAACACAATTCATGTTAAAATGGCCAGTGGCTTTCTGGAATCAGTAGCACAGTGGATAATTTGTTAATTACTTCAAGCGAAATGTAATGATTTCGGTTGTCAATGCAAATGTCAACACAGGAATGCAGCTACATCAAACCGATGAATCATAATTAGAAAAACACATGTCTTCTGGGTTCCAATCGGGAATAGTTTAATTATTTCAAGTCAATAATGCTAACGATAGTTGGATGTAAAAAATTACACATTGGTACTTAGTAAACTTTCTAATGATCGGAATTCTGAGTAGAACAGAAAACGACTCCAAATAAGCTGGTCAATACACTTTTGGAAACTCATGAATTTATGAGTAAATAGTAGTGATCCTACTACGTTGAATTACACGCGGTCAAACAAAGCATTGGCTAACCGAAACATAACCTATGTAGAGAGCATGCATCGTTGGATACTCTCATTTTAATTCTGAAGGCAGATTTCCCCTCTGTGCTTTCAATCTCGATTCATAATGGAAGTGAATCTGTCAGTATCTGAATGTACTTAATAATAAGTATGTAATTGTACGGATGGCTCGTTGAGAAACTCAAGGAAGCCTCAATAAGCCCAGAAAGAGCCGAATACATTCCATCCAATGACCGCTAGAGGAAGATTCTAGAATGTCGACGTGTAGTTCCCCTGTCGAATGAATAAGGAGGCCCCCCTATGTGCCTGTTATCTGTCCGAAATGATGATTTACTTTCAGCCAAAAAAGCTATCTACTTCTTTAATATTATACACCCTGTCATCATTTCTATCACAAGGAGTTAATGTAAACAGCCTTTTGTGGTATCATTTAAGTTATAACTGAACAAGAAATCTGCTACGTAACTAAATTAGAAGCTAATTATTCAAGTGTCGTTTTAACTGAGACTGAATACTGTATGATGGTTGAGCGTCCCCTAATAATTGTTCTGCATCTTGTTAATGAAACGAGGAAGTTAATTCATGTTTTTGAAACCAACATGTTTCTTGTAGGTCTGACTTCTCTTATGTACCCATTACCAGCTGATTAACCAGATATGATAATGATGAGATAACATTATTAACGTTAGAACGTTAACAAGTGATCCTATTTCGAATGAAGAGATTTTGAGTCCTTCTGAATTATATTATAATATCTTCAGTACAAATGGAGACTATAGTCAATCAGGTGACTGAGTAATGTTAAATCGTTTCATATTGTATAATATGATTTTACAAACATAACAAGAAATGATGATATATGAGCTAGTGAATAAATAGGTCGACGACTGAAATTTTGATAGTTACTTCACAATCAACAACATCTCGATTCATTGAATGAAGTTAAAACTCGACCAGTTATCCTACTAAGAAGGGATGAATAGACACAATGAGAAACGTAGAGAAACACACATCATTGTTGGTATGGTTTTGAACTATGCCTTTATTTATATTCAGGAACGAACTCTGATCACTATCTGTCAAGATAGGAGCATCCTGTGCGGAGTGCCTCGAAATAACCATTGTCAAAAGTTATTTGGAATAGATGGATAGAGAATAACAGTGAAGTTCAGAATACTTCTTTCGTACATTTTGGGACTCGTAGGTTGTACGAGATAACCGGCTGGTATATATGACATCCAACCAAACAGGACATTTATATTGATCCATTCAGTGACTTCGGATGTCAAGGACAAACAGTGTTTGTGCTATATCAGTGTGACACGTTCAATTGAACCTTGACTTCTTCCAACGTATTAGTGGCAAAAAAACTTTCAGAATAAAATTAACTAAATTTCCTTTTACCGTAAAGAAGAGAAGTATGAGAAACTGCTGACCTTAAAAAAATAACAATTCCGAAAAGAAACCTCTGGCATCATATTGACACCATTACTAGAAATGGATATTAATCATTAAAAAAAGGGATCGATAGCACCTAATCAATAGTAGTCACAAAGTAGAAAACTTCAAGTCGTCCGAGATAATTACTAAATAACGAATGAAGAATTTCTGTACCTAAAGTAATCTCGTATATACGAAGAACAGTGGTGTGAATCACTCCTTACTATGAGAACTATTATTGTCATAAAACAGTTTCATTCACTGCAAGATCTCAGTTTTTAATGATTTGAGCACTGAGACGATAGATAATTTCTATTTAGATTCTGAACACCGCTTTCACCATATGCGATAAGTGGACAAAACTGTTCAAATGTATACAATCCTGGAGAAGTGGGATATTATCTGTAATATCTAGTTTATTTACAAGATATCGCCGTTTATCTTTGAAGTTCTCTTCAATCCAAGTGATGTTGTAATGAGTTACAATAGAAAGTTTCATAAATATGTCCAGATAATTACAATTTCTCAGAAGAAGTCATATAAATTCAGGTTTATCAACATACAACAACACATTACGCCGGGAAATAGAAGCAAATATGAAAAGGATGAATAACAACTGGAACAAACTAGAAAGGATTGCCCGGGACAGGGTTGGATGGAGAATGCTGGTGAGTGGCCTATGCTCCTCCACGAGGGGTAACAGGTGTAAGTAAGTGAGTAAGTAATCAACATACAAATCAAGTGTTTTTGTAAACAATCTTGTATTTGTTCTATTAAACAATTTTAGTTGCAAATAGTTTTACAGAGTTTCTGTTAACGTTTCATTGATCATATTTTGTTGGGTTTCTGTATTATTCTCAAAACTTGTGGTAATATTACTATATTGTTCTTTACAGTGAAAAAACCAACATCTTCCGCTGCAACAGTCTGAGCTCCGAAAACATAATCTATTTTTACCAAGACATTGAACACATATTCCATTGAAGAACCCTTGACAAACTAAATTGTCACAACAGCGGCGAAATAAAATCCGACTGCAAGACTCATTAAGCTTTGAACAAACATTTTGTTGAACTAGTAATAGTATTCAAAAGAAAATAATTAAAACGATGTGATTTTGAACAAAAGTACCAATATACATATATAAATATACATGTTGTTGTACAAACTACATTTTCCAGTTATTCTCTATCCAGTATTAATGAATAAAGGATTCGTTTAGTAATATATAAATGAACCATGACCAACTTAATGGATTAGTTAAAAGTTACATGTTGTTATGTAATATATTTCATGCTCATTTACAATTGATTGATCATTGGATGGTGATCTATGTCATGCGTGTCAAGTTCGTCTTAGTGCTGATCGAATGATATCGATCAAGTTGCAATGCGGCCACTAGTCTAGATGGCTTGACACTGCGTGCACCTTGCTGATGAATGCTAAGTAGCACGAAACCCGGGTCCAGTGTTTCTTGTTGACCACCTCCAATCACCATCTTATTTCATGCTCATTTAGTTTAAAATACAAATACTTAATTTCCAATTATACTACTGTTGAATTGATGAAAACTATACCTAAAACTATACCTATATATATCATAATGATAAATAGTTGAATAGTGATTACTCTATCTCTCTAGTAAACATCATCGCAAGTAGTTATATATATATAAGTAATACAAATATATCTATAGGGATATATAATATTGAACATACCTTCTTCATTAGATAGAACTGAGGTAAGGGTTATACATACAAGCCATAGGATGATATATTGAATATATCTATTCATTATAATATACATTATAGTATAGATTTATTATCATTTTATGGTAAAAGCCTAATTTATATACAGGTTTAATAGAGTAAAGTTTATCTTTATATTAATAATGATGAACTAATATGAAATAGAATCATGTTTTAGCTTGATTTCACAATGAGAAATTTGTTAAAAGTTGTAAAAAAAGAGAAAAAAAAGAATAAAGAAAATTGACATAAACTTGTTAAAGTGATTGTTTTTTTCTCTCTTTTTTTTCTTTTTGATGAGTGTACTCATGTTGGGTCGGATTGATGAGTGAATTATTATAAATTATAGATTAAGAAATGTTGTCCTGGAGGGACTGGATGGCTGTTTCATCTTATTGTGGGACTCTTCAGCAGTGCGCATCCACGATCTCACCTCACGAGATTTAAAGCCTTCTGATATAATTGGATTAGTTTATATTTGATAGAATATTTAATTTAGCTCGATTATTTTGTTTTAATAAAGAAAAATTTTATGCTTTATGGTAAATGTGTATTATTTAAACTTGGATTTCCTTTAATTTAGTTATTTATTCTCTGGCCACATTGCAACTTGATCGATAGCATTTAATCAACACTAAGACGGACTTGACACGGATGACATGGATCACCACCCAGTGATCAATCAATTGTGATTCTATCTCAGTCCTACAGGAGGTTGTTCGTGGCCCGAATAGTTCAGTGGTAACGTCTCTGACTGTGAGGGTGAGTGACACGGGATCGAATCCGCCAGAGAGCATCAGTTCCCTCATGATTGCAGGTACACCTTGATGACGAGTGCCAAGTAGCACGAAACACGGGTCCAGGGTTTCCTGTTGATCACCTCCAACCATCATCCTACCTCAATATATATAATGCACTCAGTATCGAGCCACCTAGACTGGTGGCCGCATTGCAACTTGATTGATAGCATTCGATCAACACTAAGACGGACTTGACACGCATGATATTGATCACCACTTAGTGGTCAATTAATTGTGATTGACTTATGTTGTTCTGATGTTCTAAGAGTCTTTTAATGAAGCTCTCTACACCATGGAAGAATATCGTTGTGTTTTTGATTATTTCATTCCAGTAAAAAGTTAATATTCTAACTGTAACTGTACTTTTAATATAATATTTGAATGATGCGTTTTGAAGTGGGTCATCTGCCTCCATTTCTACCAATAAACATTTAAATGTATATCCGATTTTAAATATGTACAACAGTAATGATGTAGTGAACGAGAACATAAGTTAGGACAATCGAATATATTTGAATATAAAATTACGGAACAACTTAGTCAAATCTGGAAATCATACTGTAAATACTTCATTTGTAAAATATCAATCAATCATCTCAAACTTCATTGTTCTTTCGTTTCCACACCAATCATTCATTGTTCTCGTTCTCTTTTCTTCGATCTTCTCAACCTTTTGCCATTAGGTATTTCATTTTCGATCGATGATGCATATTACTTATATCTGTCGATATCAGTAGCACATACCACAATGATCTGTAATGTTGGTTGGTATATTAAGCCTATATACCTTGTTCTAGCTTCTGGACAAGTCAATTCACCTATCCATCATGAGTCATATTTTGGCCTTGTTAATTATTCACTTATCAACCCTGAGCGCATATGTGTGTACACTTATCCTATTCATCAGAAATCCATAACTTATTTTCATCTGACTATAAATATTGATAAACGCTTGACAAAAGTGAGTTTGCTTCCCTGCCATTTCCAATGCATGTCATTTATGCTTCACTCGCTGATATTTGTTCATGTGCTTATAGCTTTCTGGCTTGCGTTCTTTGACAATAAAACTGTAGCTACCGCTTCTCTTTGCCTTCTGATTTTATACACCGTTAAGATTTGTATTAAAACGGTTATCAAGGTGAACGATTAACGAAGCACAACACTACAGATCATTTAAATAATGTTAATATGTAAAACCGACTGTATTCTTTTTGTTTACATAAAACAAAATAGTATTTTCATAGTTGAAAGTGTGAGTCAATTTAATCTAGATCACCATGGCTCAGTGGTCTATCGGTTAAGGGCTCTGGCTCCAGACTGCTAGGTCCTGGGTTCGAATCTCGCGAGTGCGGGATCGTGGGTGAGCACTGCTGAGGAGTCCCATAATAGGACGAAACAACCGTCCAGTGCTTCCAGGTCTAGTTTCAACTGACTCACGCTTTCAACTATGAAAATACTAGATCTCCACAAAACCCGTTCTGACAAAATAGTATGCAAATTAAATTAGGGTCAATATTTCAGAAACAACACTGAGATTATCAACAATTTAAATAGATAGATCGATCATGGCTCATCTAAATAATAAGGTATCATATAAATAATGAATTATATTTACTAGAATGACATAATTTTACTCTAACGTGACTTACTGCTTTAGATTTTATCAGTAGATAAGTGGTACTATAGTGTATAGACTTCCATGAATGACTTTAAAAGTGACAAAGAAAATGTATATTAACTTTTGTTTTGGAACTCATAAAGTTTATGGTTAAGAATTAGGATTAGGAAAATATACAAAATCTCTTAATTATAATGTTGATAAGCGTAGAAAACTACATCAAAGTATAATGAGAGAAAAAGAGATATTGTTTCAGATTAAAGTATTATTTTCAATAGTTGAGATCATTAGTCAATTGAAGCTAGAGCATCATAGAAAACCTGGAAGTACTGGACGGCCGTTTCGTCTTATTGTGGGACTTCTCAGTAACGCGCATCCACGATCCCACCTCGCGAGGTTCGAACCCAGGATCTATCAGTCTCATGCGCGGATGCTTAACTTCTAGACCACTGAGCCGGCATTATCGTTCAAGGCTTAAAATATAACATCTGTTCGTCAATCAACCTTTAAATGTAAATATGATATAAATGCCTACTTTTCATCATATTTAAAATCCAGACATTGTATCTAATAATAACTCCTTCATCGAAATATCGGACTACTATTTATATTACAATTAAGTTCATATATGAAATGAATATAAATATGCAATATGATCTGGATTACAGAATAAATACATTCAGTCACATAATTGACCTAACATTTACTAGTACACATTCAAATATTAATGTAAAGAGATTTAAAAGGATAATATGGTTGTGGTGTGGTCTACTTATATCCATATAAGTAGTATATGGTGTGGGTCAGACATAGAATGTATTTTGGCAGTAGACCGATGAGGAAAGAACTGAAATGAAGCGCAATCGTTTGGAAAATGCATGAGCAATGGAATGAGAAAAAAAACAGTGAAGGTTGAAACAATTGCTTGTTAATTTGCAAATTGACTGTTCATTGTTTGGTTATCAGAATTTACTGAGATAGTCTGTAATCATTGCTTAAATACATTCGATTGTCCCCAACCAGTGTTCTGTTCACAACATGGTCATCAGTGTTATTGGCATCCATTAGTGTACTTTAATTTGTCTATATCCACTGACTAGTTCATATGGTTATTAAAACTTACCGTTTAATCATGTTTTAACTTGTAAATAGCTTAAACAGGTTAGTAAAATTTGTCAAATCCACCTGTCTACTCATCAGGATAGTAATAATAATAATGATACATAAATTATATAATAAACGAACTAATGAAAATTAAGCATATTTAAAATAATGTGAGATTTTGGCTGGTAAAATTATTTGATAATAAAAACCAGACTATCTAGTTGTTCATGTATGAAAACTTGTCCAAACAAGTACTTAAGAAGTTTAAAGTAGTATAGTAACTTAATGACATGTGAAATAAGTTGTATGTCAATCATTTGTACTAAAGATCAATAGTTTTTGATGTAGGTTTATTCTCAGAGCTGGATGGTTTGGTCGTGGAGCTTTCATCGTCATTCTGAACGACATCATCAGCACAAACTTGGGGTAGAAACTCCACGACCAAACCATCCAGCTTAGAGAACAAACCTACATCAAAATCACTCACCTGAGCTACAAATCATCTTCACCAATAGTTTTATTACGAATGATTTAGTAAATCTGAATATATATATAGTTATATCCCGAAGAGAATTATGAATGGTAGCTTTTGAAAACTATTTATGGGCCAACATTATATGTATATTTCCTATTGTATAATTGTTAAGTAACTAAACTATTTATATTCGTGTCCCTCATATTATAAGCTTTGTTTTGAACTATGAACTGTTACTATACGATTTACAATTCCTGAGTTATATCCAGTATATTGATTACTGTTCCCCCTATTCACAACCACATTTAGCTGTTTTTCTATTCTATGGCATGATGCGTTATGTTTGTCTGTTATATAAACCGAGTATGCTCGAAATAAATGATTCGCATAGCAAAAGCTGTAATTGGTGTTCTGGACTCAATTGGACGGTCTAGGCGTGCAAGGGACCAATAAGGACGCTAGACTGCTCATACTGGTCGAACGCCATTATCCCGTTGTTAATAATTTGAATGAATTACGATTAGTCTTAGTTGAATGAATGCAGCGATTATTAACATGTTTCATATCAAACAGGTGGATTGTGGCTAGCATGCGTGTTGCATCCAATTAAGGACTCGTCAGCTAAATGTCCCTTCACCTAAAAGTTGATGTTCATCTAGGGATTCAGAAACATTACGTTCAGCCCCTAACGCCAATAAGTTATTCACTTGTCAGGAACATTCAGACATTGTGTATTAAATAGGGTCAAAATCGCATTCTGCACTCCATTCCTAGTCATATTCAATCTACTATGTATACCATAATATGTCACAACAGAATAACATTGGTTCACTTGTTTTGAAAACCCTTTCACCTTTATAAACTGAAATATTTCAATCTATTGTTTATCATTACATTATTTGTTTTAAATTAAGGTGACGACAAAATATCGTCACAATATCAGCTGAATAGTCATATGATGGTATAATCTAATTACTATTTAAGATGTTTCTAGAAATCTTTTCAATGAACTATATAAAATAATCTTTTGAGTTGAAAAAAATGGATGGATGGATGGATGG